ACAAATAAAATCGAATGACTAAACAGTGCAAATGAACGGTGATACGATTTAAAGTGAACTGATTGATTGGACGGCTAATCAGTTACGAACCACAAATGGTATGGTACGTGTGTATGTGTGTGTGAGTACAAAACAGCAATCAATCAAACGGGAACGTGTTCACAATAGATTACTTATCTAAAATTTACATCCACAATTACAATATTATAATGACAATACCCAGAACATATATGACAATCGAGAACAAATGATTAGACTACAATAAGTAAAACAATCAAAATATCTATGAAATCAATCGAAGTTGTTGATAAATCAATTGATCATTATTATCGATGATGATATTGATCAATCAATCGAATTTCCGGTACTGCGTTCGTTTCGGGTACCACGGTAAGAGAATTTGTTCAAATGGACGTCCGTTATCTGAAATTCATCACAAATTATAGATAGCGAATCCCTTCGTGAAGAAATCGAGGCACATCTATACATAGAGATCTCAAAATGACCAAATATAGTGACTCAATCCGAATGAAAAGAAAAAAATTTCGAGGATAGAATATATGCACACTCACACTCTTTGAGATGATCGAAGTCTTTGGGATGCAACGAGATGTAGTGCTCGATCACAGCGTCACGAGTTCGATAGTGATGTTCTCGTACTTCACCCAACAGATATCCCAATCCCGAGGCGACAGCCACAAAAGCAAGACGCGGAAAGATTGCTGAAAATTCCGTTCATAAACACCTACTAATTCAAAAATGCGATGAAACTGGATATCTTATTGTGATCTTAGGATAATCCAAAGGATTCTAAAGCAAAAATATCCTTGCTTCATGATGACTGAGCTGAATACTGCTCCCTTAAGCGAAAGATAAAATCGATATGACATTGAATTACAACGATGTGGTTCATAACTGGTTCTTGAATAAAAAGCTTTCACGCAAAAAAAACTGCAAATTTAAACAAATTGAAATGATTTTTACGTTTAATGAATGCAAAAATTAACCGTAATAGAAGGGTTTCTTGTACCAAAGATTATTCAGATGAAGCGCAATCAACGAAAGTCCTCCAATACAAGCGGCACTTTTTTCGGGATAACGCCACGTGAACGGATCGATCAGACTGTAGGGTCTGTTGGATGCGCGGATATACGATTCTCTGCGTTCGATCTCTTTTGCGTCGATCAACTCCCCAACCATACCTATAATTTTATTCACCATCAGAAATACAGTAGTTATCAGAGGTATCATATAAACGACATTCGAACTCGAATACATTGCAAATACTGCATTAATAATAACACTACAATTTATATCACACAAATATGCAAAAATTATGCATTTTGCAAAAAAACCAAATTATTCAATACTACGACCGTGATAAAATTTGTACCTTTATAAGTCATTCTACATGTGATAAGATAAACACAATACATAGACATATGATAAATGAATGAAAATGATCGCTATCGTTATCGGCATCAGAATCGTAAAATGAAGCGAAGATGATTCAACGATCGAACTTCGCCGGGAAGCGTCCTTCTTCAACGAGTTCGTCCCATTTCTCCACCCAAAAGCCCGGACAAATATCCTTGTAGACGTTCTTGAAGAATTTGCACGGTTTATAGTCTTCGCCCATCAACTCTTGACAACGATGAAAATCGACATAGTACGCAAAGCATTGACGTTGTTTACGCACTTGTGGAAAACGAGCATCGTACGGTGCAGCCCAAATGAACGACTGCTTCAACTTTTCGTTGTATTCACGATTGAACCAGTCCGGTGAATCCGGATGGCGTAAACCCGGCTCTAGCTTACTCAGAAACTCTAGCCGCTCGGCCGTGGTCGGCGGCACTTCCATTTCATTCACCATTTTTCGTCGTCGTTTTCTTTTAACGAGATAAGATTTCAGTTATTATCTGAAATCTTGAAAAGTTCTTCGACTTATTAAATTACCTCGCAAATACCAACAAAAGAGATGCAATGAATTTGGTGAGTAGTTAAACGATAGATTAAAGTAAAGGCACTGAAAATAAGATGATAGCAGTCGCCTGACACGCTTAACGTTACAGCTTAATCGTGAGAAAAGGTGTTGGATGCTGCAGGTGAGCAATTGCGATAAAGTGAAGAATGCAGAGTATTGCGAACTAGCACTTAAGAGTTGATAATTTGAATGTAGCATTGTGGCAACTCAAAATTATTCTCTACTCTATCCACATCTACATCAGCTCGTTAAGTTTACCATCTAAAAGAGTTTCATAGATGAATGATGAAATATCGAAAGAATGAGTCGAGAGATAATAATGGTAATGCATATGAAATGATACAGCATTAAGAGGAAAGTGCATTGCGTGAACATAAATAATATAAGCACTGCATCAAAGAATTGAATCAACACTGTGTTTGTCTTCCTGTATAACGTGAAACATTGGGAAATCGCAGGCCTTCTACTTCTCAAGACATTGATAAAACCATTTGGTTTGAAAGAAAGAATCACGTTTTATGAGTGCAATATCAGCAACTGAATAAATGATTGGTGTAACGTTGCCGAATAGGTAAAATTATAGAATGCAAAATTGCTTCATAGCATAAAATTTCGTAGTTTCTTAATAACACACTTGCAAAGATTACCGGAGACGATTTTCTCTCGATGAATCACTCGTCAAGATTCTCCCGTATCGAATTAATGGAAACAATGTTCGAGTTATGGGGAAAATCGAGCAATTTTTACATATTCAACCGATGAGACGAGACGAGCATTTACATGAAACGTCAACGTATTATAGAGGAAAATTTGCAAATGATTCTCGAATTTTGAAATTTCGCATAAGCCATCAAAGTTCGGAAAAATCTCTGAATTGGGATCACTTTTATTGATAGAGTTTTGCGATACGGCTCATTGCCGTAATTTTATTGTTTTAATAGATTAAATTCTTGAATGAAATTCATCGACGTCGTATTCAACTTGTATGAAGTGTTCACGTCAATTGTATTTCAATGTCATCTTCATCGCAGTAATTCTTATAAATGTAAGCTGTTAATCATCAATTGGAAGGTTCAATTCTCTTCAATTGAACCAGTCGTGTTCATACATTTATGCGATGTTCTTCAATTCAAACGATGGAACTGAAGAATTCTTCAATTCTTTAATTTTCTTTAATTATTATCAATTCTTTAATTTTCTTTAATTATTTTCAATTCTTTAATTTTC